ACCTGCAGCGCCACACCTATTACCATCATTAGGGGAAAAAAACGGTGTTCCAATCTCTGACCCCCAGGAACAGGTTTGCAGATTTGCTGAGCATTTCTGTGAGGTCCTGGGGGAGGAGAAACCCCTCAGCCAGGAAAACAGTGGCACAAAGTGGGGATGACCCTGATGAGGCTGCGGTGCCTCAAATATTGGAAGTCACCCCCTGTGAGTGGCTTGCTGAGGTGCCATCTGTTGAGGAAGTACTGGAGGTGATCCGGAGTCTGAGACCAGGAAAGGCACCGGGCAGAGATGATCTCCCAAGCGAAATGCTGAGGGAGGGTGGTGTTTGTGCACAGACTGCCCTATATGACATCATAACAACAGTCTGGACCACTGGAGGGGTTCCGCAGGATTGGAAGGATGCCCTGGTGGTCCCCCTCTTTAAGAAGGGGGACCGCACAGACTAACAACTACAGGGGCATCTCACTCCTCAGTGTGCCGGGAAAGGTCCTGGCAAGGATTATTCAACATCGCCTCGCCAGGCACGCCGAGGAGAGGCTTGCGGAGCCCCAATGCGGTTTCAGGAAAGGGCGGTCCTGCACAGATGCCATATTTTCTGTCCGTCTGCTACAGCAGAGGTGTAGGGAATTCTAATAGGACCTACATCTTTTCTTTATTGACCTAGTCAAGGCCTATGATACCATCAGTAGGCCTGGGCTCTGGGTTGTTCTTCGTGCTTTTGAAGTTCCTGACCCTCTGCTCACGACCATTAAGGACCTTCATGATGGTGAGCGGGCCCGGGTAAAACTACGTGGCCGGGAGTCAGAGCCATTCCCTGTACACCTTGGGGTGCAACAGGCATGTACTCTGGCTCCCACATTATTTAACATCTATTTTGACCACATAGTTCGTGAAGCCTTCAATAGTGTACCGGGGGAATATCCATTTGATACAGATATAATGGGAGGTTGATTGATGCCCGGGTGCGGTCATGGGATGGCTCCCTATTGCTCAACCACGTTATGTATGCCGATGATTTGGTAATAGCTGCTCATTCAGAGGAGTTGGAGACGCTGCTGCTGAGACTGGAGAGTGCCACTAAGAGATGGGGCCTTACCATCAGCCCCACCAAAACTAAGCACCTGCCTGGGTATTTTGTACCATCGGACGGACACTCCACCCCCACAACTCCCAATCGGTGATGGGGCAGTTGTGGAGAGAGTGGAGAGTTTCCCATACCTGGGCAGTGTACTTATGACCAGCTCAAGTTTAACAGCAGAGGTCTCACTCCGAATCAGTCGAGCAGCAATATCTTTTCATCGGTTGCGTAACGCTGTGTGGAAGCTACCTGGTCTGTCGCTCCGCACTAAGCTTCAGGTCTTCTCGGCCACGGTCATTCCCTCCCTTCTCTACGCTTGCGAAACGTGGACCCCCTTAATGGAACATCTTCGCTAGCCTGCCTACGATCCACCCTGGGTTTAACCAAGCTGGATTGTGTGAGGAGCTCACAAATCCTTGAAAGATCTGGGCAAGGTCCCATCGGTGAGCTCCTCCGGCAGGCAAGGCTGCGTTGGCTGGGTCATGTAGCCCGCATGCTCAGCCACCGCATGCCGAAACAGCTTTTGTTCGGCCGGATCGAGGGGGCTAGACGGGCGCGGCACGGGCTAGAGAAGAGATGGAGTGATGTGGTACAGGAGGACGTGGAGCTGAGTGGACTTGCCGATGACTGGTACCAGCGGTGTCAAGATCAGCCTCTGTGGAGGAGGCTCGTGAAGGACGCTACTGGGCAGTTGGAGGCAGTCGCCCTCCAACAACAACGGAGGGCGGAGGAGCGACGCTCACAACAACGAGCGGAGCGCCGGGTGGCTAAAGCACAGGAGGTTGGCACAGTAGGGGGCACAGGTGGTGCATCAGCCAGTCATCTCAGTCAGTCGACCCGTGGCACCTGGGTCTGCCCTGTGACCTCCTGCCAGCGGGCGTTCGACACTTCACGTGGCCTCAAGGTGCACATGGCCTGGCACAACGTCGTGGTGACGTCACCGCCACTTAGTGGCGAATGGCGGTTGTTGTTGTGGGGGGGGAGCGGTAGTGTAGTGGTTAGCGCGCTGCGCTACGAACCCGGCAACCCGAGTTCGATTCCCGCTCACGGCCACCACCGGTGACGATTATTTGAACCGGTCCTGGGCCTCACCTAGGTCGACTCGGCCTCAAACGAGTAACTGGTGTGGTGTGTGAACATCGCCACTGGGGAGATAAAGGCGGCCGGGCGTGGTGAATCCAAGTCCCGGACGAAGGTGGGTAGTAAAACTAGTATAGATAATAAAAAAACTGAAAATAAGTCACAAAAAAAGGCTGTACAGTATTTATCAGAATGCAGTGATCGCCATGAATTGCACGTGAGGACATATGACAGATAACGTGTTGTCTTATTTCCCCCCTGAAAAATAGTTTAGAGATTCATAACGCCGTAAATGTGATTTTAACAGAACGTATATCAATTCCCCAATTTTTAAGTTCCATTTTTGGCAAAACTCCCATCTACTGAGTTGCCGCCCCCACTGCAATTCCCTCGTTGTGGAGAGTATTGTACACAACAATAATAATTTTCGAAATTTGTAAGGCTCATATCTATCCAAGGTATCCCAATGCGCGCGTATGAGCGGTAGTAATGCTTGGCGATCCCACGTATTGATACCACAACAGGTTTACGGCGAACTCCTGCAAACTTTCTTCCCAACAGCGGACTTAAGACTGAAAGCTACGGACCTCCGCGTCTCGCACAGCCGTGTTGAAAACTCTCACAAAGTCTACACGAGGTTGGTGACATAATCAGGTGCGGTTTACGTTGTGTTTATACGTTAAGATTATTATACTGTGCACGTGGATTGGTTCCTCCCTAGCGCTGGTGGAACTTTATTTATTTATTTCGTAATTAAAATATTTCATATTCTTTGGCTCTTTCGGTAAAGTCACGTAGGTAGAAAATAAATAAAAAAGTCACGACGTTTTGGTCGCAACACAAGCGCCCGTCATCAGGTGGGACAAATCGCAGCACGAAACAATTGCTGAAGAAACAATTTCTGAAGTGTTGTTGTTTCACTGCTGTGGTTGTCACGCCTGATGACGGACGCTTGCGTTGCGCCCGAAACGTCGCGATTTAATTCAATTAATTTTATACCTACGTGACTTCCCCCTGCAGTCACGAAAACTTCAAATGAAGACATTAAACATTTCACCTGAAAAAAAAAAACCTCCTTTCGGGCGTAACAACGCAACTTTTTTTTTATCAAGGGCTGTCAAGTGGCACGCATCTCAAACGTGTAATGGACATGCACAGAGACAAAGAAGCCCCGTGTAGCCGCAGCAGAGTGCTGGGGCAAGCGCTGTTAGTGTGAGGGGCCAGGCACTGTGTGGCACACGTTGACCGGCCAGGCACCACACCCGGCCGCCTTTGTCTCCCCAGTGGCGACGTGGGGGTCGCCCGGGCGCCGACCCGGTGCTGGCAAAGGGCACCCACGGTTGTAGCAACACAATTTTGGGGGTTTATTTTTTTTTTAATATCGCACGAAGCCCCGCGTAATAAATAAGCGGAAACGGCGCTTTGGCGGCAAAAGCCTCTCTCGGGGCCTGACAAAGTCGCGGCGACAATTTTAAGAAAAATATATAGTGAAACGTAAAAAAAAATAAAACCACACACTCGTATTTACGAGAATAGTATAGACAGAATTGTCCCGTGTGTACAATCGAACGCAGTTAATCGATTGCCTCACTTTCACTAACGTGTGACATTTCATTATCGCTCTATGTACGGCACTAAAAATAATCTACGTAACTTCCATTAAGTTGGTACCTGTAATACATGTTAATATCACTATTACGCATAACCGGTGTGTAAATCTTACCGACTTTTTCATGTACAACACTACACAGTATAATGCACTACAGTATACGTACTAAATTTCGATTTGGAAAGCTTTCGTGACTGCAAGGATTCATCTTCTTTGGTTCTTTCGGTAAAGTCACGTAGAATGAGAATAAAATAATACATTTTATTGTGGTATTTAATTTTTATTAATTTATTATTTTATTCTCATTCTACGTGACTTTACCGAAAGAACCAAAGAAGAGTATACGTACTGTAATGAACTATATAGTTCAGTACTCTATACGAGTTGCATTCCGAATGGGATTTAATGCTATTTTGCTCTATTTATATATTTTCAGAGCATGTGTGTGTGTCGTCAAGCCGCTGCTGGATGAAGGCCTCCCCTACCACCCTACGCCGACCATACTTCACCACTCTGGTCAGCGCGGGCTTGGGCGCCAATATACATTTTGGTACTAAACAGAAATAAAATACGTCGCGATACTATCGCAGGGAGAGCAAGACTCGATGCTACTTTTCCTCAGAAACGCGCTTCCGAGTACAATAAAAAAATAAAATCTTACAGCAACGGGGCACGTTGATCGCTTACAATCAGCCTATACTGTTTTGAGTAGGCCGCGGCAAATAAACATTACACAACGCCGCCCTTCGCAATACGTTCTACCACGAGTGTTTCAGTCGCCACACACACACAAATATACACATGAGCGAGACAACTAGAAAGGATGTTACATTCTAGAAGATAATAATATTCTGTACAGTGCGGTACAGTGCACGGTCGCACGTGGCGAGCACGTTGTTGCAGAATATACGGAACTGTACGTCAACTCGCATTAATCTACAAACTACGGACCAGGATAGGCTTCAAATCATGAATAATTGTTTTTTTTATATAGTTGAAGCAATCGACGGTTTTTTTTGTGTTAATGTAACACTATTCCCCGCAACATACCACTTAATATCAGCGTGCGAGCCCCCTACGCGCCCTTACGTCAAGCTGACGTTTAAGTTGTCCATACAAACCCTTAACACGGCGCAACCATCTTCATCATAATCACCACCAAAACCCATCACCGCGCGTTACTCAAATTAATCTAAAAACAAGCTGCGTTGTCGAAGACCCAGCGCGCCTCACCTCACCGAACAGGCGAGAGCTGAACGCGAACGCGCGCGCCTCTTCCTCACTACCAACACCGTTTCCCTCCCAGGCAGCGTGCTATAGTGCTATCGTCAGATGCCCCATCCCCCTTTCCAACCCCTTTTTAACCCTCCTCCTCCTCCTCCCCACCCCACCAGGGGATCGAGCGGTCTTTTCCCCAACTTTTTTTCGGGTTAGATCTCGTAAACATAAATGTGTGTGTGTGGTTGAAGTTTTAACCCGCCACAACATTGATAGGCAATTAGTGAGGGTTTGTCACGGAAAAAAAACAAAACGTGCCAATTAGTTACTATATTCTTGGTTCTTTCGGTAAAGTCATGTGTTGCAGTCGAAACGTCGTGAGAATTTTATTGTTTTATATTTGTATTATTTTATTGTTTCCCTGTCTACGTGGTGACTTTACCGAAAGAACCAAGAATATGAATCCCTGCAGTCACGAAAGCTTTAAATCAAGATTAGTTACTAGTTCAGCACACAGGTGTGTTGGAGAGTAAACCGACAATTAAAATTAGATTACATATGAATACGCGTCCTAAACAAAAGGTATAATAAACATTGTCATTATTTCCAGATGAATGCGCATCACATCCCCGCGGACCACCTGGAGGGCCGTCGCAGTCCGCTGGCGCTCCTTGGACCCTCTCTGAGAAGAACTTCGCTTGGCAGACCCCACAGGTTGATATGGAGCTGGCAGCCCGTGAAATAGCTAATAAACGGAGCACGGAGGACACATTGTTCGGTCGCTCACTACACTGCGTCTCGCATTTGATCAAGATATGAGCCGAAATTGGAGGTTAGCGGAGGGAGGTCCCAAACAGGGATAGTTGTGCAGCCAGTTGCCACCAAATTAATGTTTAACCTCGGAGGATGGTTGGCTCTTGAGTTTACTTGATTCATTCCACGGACGGTCCCAGTTTCCTGGCTACAAGGGACATCTGTGCTACGACGTGAGTGCAGCAGCAAACTATTTAACGGTCATAAACTAAACACACGCAGATTGAAGAAAACACGATGCAAATATAATGCCCCTATCCCCCGTATCTCCCAACCCCCCGGTGGGATTGCTAACCTTTAAATGATGTCCAACCCATTTCAAGTACCTGGGTATGATGATCCCTTCATCTTTAACATCACTCTTCCAGACGAACTTTCCTCTCTTGCTCAAAGAGACCACTACCTTACTAGTGGCGTGGGCAAAAGGACTCCCCTATCCCTCCAAAATAGAGCATCTTATAAAGATGATGGTCCTCCCTAAACTATTATATTATTTACGAATGGTTCTTTCTCGGAACCCAAAGCCTTTTTTTTAAAGTACTTCATTCCCAAGTCTCATCCTTCATCTGGAACTATAAACCCGGACAGATAGATAGTTATTCCCTTTACCCTCCCAGTAAAGACAGGAGGCTTGGTTCTCCCGGACCTATTCAAATATCCATAAGGGGGTTACCCTCCAGAACATAAAGCATTGGTTTAACCTTATAAAGCAGAAGGTTCTTAACCTTTACTGCAGCCTGCACCCCTTTGGTTTTCAATCATTAAAACATGAATAATGTTAATAAATACATAGGTTTGATGAAAGAAAGTAGTTGTACTTACCTGCCCATCCTTAATTTGTGTTTTCGATTATTTACCTTCGAAACAAATATGACATGTCTCGCACCCCCAGGTGGCACGTGCACCCTAGGTTAAGAACCACTGCTATAGACGGAGGTGTTGCTAAATGGTGAGAGGAGAAGTACATGAGCCCGTGGTCCCCTCACTGGCTTCTCCACCTCGGGGCCTCAGGTCACCGACTTGGACAGTTTCCTCGACGCCTGGAATATGCAGAGGTAGATGCATCCCCTCCTCCCAGTGCCCCGTCGTAGATGGTATCCCAATTTGGGGCAACCCCTCATTGAAAATGGGGGGCAAAGAGATAAGGTAGTTTAGCTGGAGAGAAACAGGCTGGAAACTGTCCGTGACTTGACTTAAAGAGGGACATTTATTGCCCTTTGACCAGCTGCAGGTAAGATACAGTATCCCCCAAACACATTTCTTTAAATATCTGCAAATTAGGAATGCCATCGCGAAAAGCACCCAACAAACTCCTAGATCTTCCCTCACCATCTACCACCAGGGGCACTGGAAGATCCGTTACTCGGAAGCTCTGGAATAGGCTTCTAGGGCAAGACATCTCCCAGCCTAAACGGACCTACATCTGGTGGGCCCCTCAATCTGGCCCAAGGTCACAACTATTGATGCTCATCCAATGTAAATGTATGCATGGCACCTACGATGACCATTTACGCTGCGTCAAACTGACCAGCGCGCTCGACTGCAAACATTTAGCATTACGGCTCAGAAGGCCATTTTGGCACAATTAAATGACCATGAACCCCTTTTAATGGAAAGAGTGGCACGGGTCCCTTCTTGCCCTTGTGGCTACAGAACACTTAAGCCACAGGCTTAGAGACAAGGAACGGAAATTTGAGGACATGTCCCCCATTCCTGCAGAGGAGCCCTAGTGTGAGGTACAAACACAGTGGGGTCGGGACGGAGGCTAGGGGTTTTTTTAGTCCCTCCTCCAGCGATGGACAGGAGCTAATTAATGCCCTAGAGGACTTTCACAAGTCATACACTCACTAAGCTCGTGTAAGTTGCTTTTTTCCTATCCTAGTTTGTTAAGCGCGTCCCCCTATTCTCCCCCACCTCCCCTTCTTCTCCCGTTCCCTATACCCCCTATATCCCACTCACTTAAGTTATTCCTGTCTAATCACCCCTTTCCTATACACAAGTAAAGTACATACTCTTTGGTTCTATTCGGTAAAGTCACGTAAAAAAAAATTCACGACGTTTCGGCCACAACACAAGTGGCCTTTATCAGGTGAAGGGACCGTGCTGTCATGAGGACAGCGTTGGAGTGAAAACAGCCAAGCCCAGGTCGCGCCCTTTAAGCTGTGTGGGAGGAAGCAAAACGCTTGACAAAGGAATTAGCATAAAAATGAGCACGATGTACGTAGGAGGAGAAAGTAAAGTACCTCCTACGGAGGGGTCGGGACGGAGGACGGAGAAAGTAAAGTACCTCCTACGGAGGTACTTTAAAGTAAAGTACCTCCTATGGAGGTACTTTACTTTACTTTACTTTCTCAATTTCATCATCTTCTGTAAAGTAAAGTACACATTACCACTCTCCCCACCTGGGTGGGACAGTGAGCCCAACTTTCCCCCCCTCCTCCTTTTTGTTGATTGCGCAGGAGCATTGATTTTGGATTTTTTTTACACCACCGAGTTTCTTTGCCCCTCCTCATAAGTCGCGGTTTATGTTCTGTATCGGAGTCTTGTTGAAATACAATAAAAACATGAACAAAATAAAAAAGGGGGTAGTGGACACCAAGGCATGTTTCATATTTAATGGTACAAAAATGGCCCTGATTGGGAATAGAAGGGATGATGACCAGAGGTCGAGACTAACGATGGAGTAGCAGCTAGAGATAATGTCCTGCTCGGTTTGATTGTTAAGTGTTAGCAACTCATGCACAGTAAAATTATGTTAAGTGCCATGAGTGGGTCTGGGGAAAAAAGTGGTCGGAAAGGGATCAGTGTTCTTAATTGGAGTGCTGCTATACCAAAAATTGTTGAGCACTACTGCACTACATCCAGGCGAGATGTCGAGTAGGGCGCACCTTGGGTGTCCAGGAATGACCCAGTTCTGATCAAAGGTAAGTACCAAGACCCAGATGTGGGTCCGAGGACATACTCCGTGAGCCATGAGGCTATGTAGGCTCGGCCTCAGCTACTCCATCCCTCCCCATACCCTCCTGTCCACTACCCATAAATGAGATGGATTTTAACATCATATAAATAAACACACTTACCACTTGAGTCATGTCACCTCAATTTTGAGGCAAATATGGAAACTTTCCAAGAGGGGACGGTTCCAAAATATCAACATTTATAAATAGGGCCTATAAAAAAAGATCTATATTTCCTCTGCAAAATATTAATAAAATACCAATTTACCACTCAATTGGTACAAATGTATACTCTTATCAGTAATAGTGGAGCTGGTTGGTGGGGCTGGTATTACTGACTTATCAGTAATACTTAGCTACAGTTTCTTTACCATGTATGCCATGTGCTGTGTGTCAAGGGCATGGTTAATGGTCAAGTCAAGTCCAAGTGTTATTCAAATACTTCACAAAGGCTTCACCACCAACGGAATTTTGGAACATGCTCAACACTTGCACAATACATTTGGATTCCATCAACCGATTATTATCTTTGTGATCAATCCAAGAATGCGAGTGCGTTCGACATATATCAAGCATCTGCATTTCTCAATTTCATCATCTTCTGAAATCCTTGGCCAAAGCATCTTGTGATCATTGTCAGGCTTGGCCATCAGCGTGCGCTCGTCATCAACACTGGTTAAATCACCAAGGCCATAAACATGTCGCAAGCCCCAAATCTATGCTCTCTATTGCCACACCACACTGTTCCTCAACCACAAGAATGCATCTCGGCCTCTTCAAAAGGGGGTATAACAACAAAATTAGACACGGTCTCTTGTGATGCTGTGCTACCAGTGGTGCACACGAGCAACAACAACAAAAGACTCAACACATTCGTCAGCATCACTGTGACCTTCGTCAAGAATGCAAGGCATGGGACATGAGGCCAAATACAAACACCTTATCTCCAAAAGCGGATAGTTTCACGGCCAAGCTGAGGAGGAGGTCCAATTCATTTGGCAAGGTATCCATTGCCTCACAAAAGAGCACTTCTCTTTCTCATGGAAAACATTATATATAAAATGTTACATTATTCTTACTAAATTGGTCCATTCATGAGATTGGTACTGTATATGAGTGAGTGGGTCACACTCTGAGGAGAGGGCCATACCAGCGAGAATAGTGGAAGGGCCGGAAGGGGGGCCAGAGGAGAGCCGGAACCCGGGGTGGTGGGGGGGGGGCAGAGAGCCAGCGGCAACCCTGATATTCCTGATGTTCACATTATCGAGGTAGCTTGTAAGGGTGCCCTCGATCGAAGTCGTGCATTGTATGGGATCGGCTGAAACGCGGAGTAACCACTCAGAGGTACGGTGATAAA